ATTTCCCCTGAGGGTCTCTTTCCTGATCCCAATTCAATTCATTGTTGTCTTACTGCAACTTTCCATTGCCTTGACTATGGTGCTTTCTGTGAAGTCTTTGATGTAGGAAGATATGTTTAAGTTTTTCTTAATTTTGGGCCAATCAATCAATAAACATGTATTAAACATCTACTCTATACCAGGCACTGTGATAAGAGTTCGAGATACAAGTATAAAAAGAAAGATAGTCTCTGCCCTCAAGGAGTTTATAATCCAATCGGGGAAAGATAATACACCAAAGGAAACTGAAAATCATGTGGGTGTGTGGCTCAGGGAAGTCAAGAATGAGTTTCCTGAGGCATGATGGAGAAGTCAGAGAATGACACAGTATTGTAGCCAGGTGAGAAATGAGATGTTCTGATGACCACACCATCAGAAATCCATGTGTATGCAAGCCATTTGAATTATTTTTTAAATGATAATGATTGTGATGTATAAAAAGTTTGAGAGACATAATTTCTGGGTAATCAATCATTTTATTCATTATGGCTGGTGAATAATTAATGAAAGGATGATCATTTGGCCGGCTCTCATACACCAAAGACAGATCATGGCAACCTATTGATGCTTATATGCCCTTGAAAGAGTAGACAACAGACAGCAATCAACTCTGATGGGTTAGCAATTAATGAGAGAATGACTATTATAATGAGAGGTTGACCAATTCTAATGAGGGGCTGGTGTAATGACTTTGACTATGTCACTTGTACTCCCAGACCACCCCCAGCTTGGCAATCTTATTTATCCTATTAACCCCTTTTAAAAAAAAATTACTCAGCAGCCCCTGGGAATCTACTTTCTTTAGTCCTTTAACGTTTTTTTTTCTAATTAGTGTCATTTCCCAAAATATATAATTTTTTAAAATGTTGCATCTTAAATTTAATCATTTATTGTAAATTTGTAGGATGTTTCCTGCACTGAAATTTTAATGATGTGATATTGTGTCATGTAACCAAATAGTACCGTATTGTAAACAAGTCCTTGTTTACAATATTCCCAACCATGTATGCTGGACTTCCCAACAATGCTTGACACACTCACTTGCCAACACTTACTTGTTAAGACCTATCAGTGGACTTGACCACTGATCAGTTTTAAGTTGCATTTTGTGTGTTTATTTGGAAAACAATGTAATCACTATGATTTTAATTGTTATACAACAGATAGAGCATGTACAAATGGTTTTTCAAAATTTTCTTCTCTCCTTTCCTTATGCTTCCACCGCCCCCTTACTTTTATTCAATGTCCCCAATTGTACCTGAAACTAATACTGCCAACCTGCATCATTCCAGTGCCCCTCAAGGGGTGGTATTGCCCACTTGGGGAACTTCTGAAAGGATTACCCCCACCCTAGCCTGAGTAGACCACAATGGACTTCCCTAGTTAGGTGGGATCTGAATAAGATTGAGGAGAATGTTAAATCCAATCCCGTTATCAACCCTATTCTTCAGGGGCTGACTTGAGTAAAGAATGAGGAAATAGGAAGGGAAAAAATTCTGGATCTTCCCAATAGTAATTAGTTATTAATATAAGAGAGAAATCATCATTTCTGTCATGATAATCAGAGAGGTAGCCTGGTGTAGTGAATAGAGAGCTGGCTGTAGAATCATAAAGATATGGGTTCAAGTACTGATTTTGATAAATGCTGGCCGTAGAACCCTGGGCAAGTCACTTCACCTCTCACTGTGTTGGACTACTCTTTAAGACTACAAGTTGCAGAGAACAATTTCTTTTTTTAGAAGTTCCTGCTCCCAATAAAATCATAGGTCCAGAGCACATAACCACATAATTTTTTTTTATGAAGTCTAGGCTTGTCATTATTCCGAAATGTGGATTTTAAAGGAGAAATACAAAAGCAGCATAATAAACAATTTAATCAATATTGTTTATTTAAAATCACATTAGTATAGGTTTAGGGCTAATTTTGATCAAGTCAGGGAAAATACTGGTTTTTAACATACAGAATTAGACTAAAGAACTATGGGATATATTGAGTCAAGGCAAAGTTGACTCCTGACTCCAGGTTTCCATAACTGAGAGTGACTTTCAGATTCTACATCAGTAGATTCATGAAAGAGAATGTTTCACAAAACCAGTAAGACACAAACATCCCTGGATTTTTATATAATAGTGACAACAACTTTTATATAGTGATTTAAGGTTTGCAAAGAGCATTGTAAATATTATCTCATTTTATCCTTACAACAACTCTGGGAGGTAAGTGCTATTATGTACATTTTATAGTTGGGACTATGATAGGCAGAGGTTAAGTGACTTGCCCAGGGTCACTTAGTCTTTGGTTAATGCTCAATGAGTTATTATTTGTATGCTAGCTAATTTAGACAAAACATTATTTGATTGGCTGATTGATTGTTGAAAACTTCAGGTTGACTACACCTTGGATTCAAGTAGGTTGCAGTTGACAAAAGCATTGCACCTTAGTGGAATGTCTTTCTTGGTCTTCTCCATCTAACTCTCTCCCCTTTTTCCCTCCCTTCATTGTTAGCATATTTCTATGATACTATTGGCCTATTTTTCAGAAGGTTTTTTATGTGATTTGTGAAAAAACATGCCTCTGGGCATAATTACAAAATGCTAAAAACTCAACCAGTATATTAAGTGATACAAGAGCAAAATTAAAAACAAATAAGAAATAAAAATGCTATTCAGAGTGAAAGATTTAGCTAAAGGCGCATAAACTTTTCGTGGTCCAAACTGCCTGTACTACATGGCATGGTCTCCTAGTTAAGCCCCTTGAAAAACAAGTTTAAGCAGGATCTGAACTATGTGTGAAGTGGTACTGACCATCTTGAGATTTGTCCTCAGTGCCTTCCATTCCTTTCAACATCCCAAACGCCTTCCAATTTCTCTTCGTAAGTCTTTTTTTTTGTCAACTCCCCCCCTCATCAGCCACCTTTTCCTATCTCTTACCCCTCTTGCAACTCTTCTGTCTTGTGTCTTATTACTTTAGCGTCTTCTCCCAGCTAAAGATAACGAGTGTTAAAGGGATCGTTGAATGAACTGTTGTCTCTTCCAGATAACACACTTGAGGGCCCTAGGCCTCAGTTTTCTTCATTAGTAAAAGGAGGTAGTTGGACTAGGTGAACTCTGAGGTTGGGTCCCTTATAGTGGTTAGAGTGTGTTGGGCATGGAGGCAGGAAGATCTGAGATTGAATCCTGCCCTAAAATTTGGCTCATGTACCAGCTCCATGATTTTAGACAAGTCAATTAGTCTCTCACAGACTCATTTTTTTCAATTGCAAAATTGGTAAAATAACAACAGCATCTACTTCAAAGGATTGTTATCAGAATCAAATTAGATAATATACAAAAGGCATTTTGATAATCTTAACCTATATAAATATTTATCATCATTCATCATCATTGTTGTCGTCTCTGTCATAGCATTTGAGCTACCTTTTACAACTCTGTCTAGGGGAGAATTCTTATAAAATAAGGATAAAAGACAAATAGACACAGCACAGTTTCCTTAAGAAAGCTATCAAATAAAGAATTGGGGGTTGTTTTTTTAATTACATTGTGGTTTTTGTTTATTTTTTTTAATGAGGTGAATTTTTATAGAATGTTAATGCCTCCAATCTAATACTGAATAGACTGATGGTGATAAAAAATAGAGGTAGGGCATGTGGAACCAAGATCTGGAACCACTCAAACCAAACTACAAGTGAATATCATTCATGCTCCATGAAAAAAAACTGTTTCTATTTCTATAGGGGTAACTATAATTACTTGGTATTAAAAACATTTTAAAATCTAGCTTTGTCAACTCAGTGCAAATTTTGGAGCGATGTGAATAGATAAACATGTTTTTGGTAGAATTTTCTTTTGCCAGTAGAATTTTTTTAAAATTAATAAAGGACTTTTTTCTTTTTCCTGGACCTGTAATTTTGTTGGTCTTAGGAACTCAGGAGGAAGAAATTCTCACTAAAGTTCAAGATCTAGCACCTACTTTACAATTTATAGTTTTAGAGGATAGTCTGGGGCATTGAGAAGTTGTGCCCAGAGTCATTGACTTGGGACATTTTCACAGGTTTTCCTTCATACTTAGAATGCTCTCCATCTTCATCTTTCACCTACTGGTTTCCCTAGCTTCTTTCAAGTTCCAGCCAGTATATAAGAAGGCTTCCCAAATCCCTTGATGGTAGAGCCTTACTTCAGTTGGCCATCTCTAATTTATTTTGCATATATCTTGTTTTATATAGTTGTTTTAATGTTGTCTCCCCCACTAAACTATGAGTTCCTTTAGAACAGGGACTGTTTTTTGTCTTTCTTTGTATCCCTCAAGCTTAGCCCAGTGCCTGCCACATACTAGGAGCTTAATAAAAGTTTACTGATTAACTGACAGCCTGCATCTGTCAAAGGCAACACTGGAACCCAGATCTTCCTGACTTCCAAGGTGGGTTCCCTATCCACTGGAGCCATCGCCAATAGTCTTGATTGATGTCTTGCCACTGGACTCTGATGACTCTGGAGGAGAGAGTGAGACTGATGACTTTGTACAGCTCAGCCTCACTTAAATACAATTTACTCACAAGTCAAGACATCAACCTCATGAAGTCATTGGTCCTCTTAGAGAATGGAGGACAAACAATAATAAATAATCCACTATGCCAGAGGATAATTGAGAAAAACCAAAGCACAGGCCTTTAAAATTTTCCTTTCATGTTAGTTTAGAAAAATAAAAGTATTTTATATACCTTAGTTTGCTCAAAAAATCCTCATGTTTGGCATCCATAGAAATGTGAAGGCCCTGGGAAAAAGAAATGGAAAAAAGCCAGGACCAGAAAATCTTTTGGGGGAAAAAATGTTTCTTTTCCTTCCCACATTTTCCTTTCGTTTTTTCTTCCCTTGAATTTGTCATCTACACTTTTGCCATAATAGTACCTCTTCATCTTCCCCTTTGAGGCCCCAATTCTGGATTTGCTTTTTTGTCTTGACAGGATGGCAAAGAACCTTGGTGAGGATGGAGGTGGGGATGACAACACTTTCAATTTCAGCTGGAAAATGTTCACAAGCTGGGACTTCCTGATTGGTAACCCTGAAACAGCAGACAACAAATTTAACTCCATCATAATGAACTTTAAGGTAAAGGGATTTTTCTACTGAATTTCTGGGAGCAAAATCTCACTAACCCAAGTCCCCTCCTGTGGTCTAGCAAAATATCCCAGGAAGAAAGGAAAGGTTGACTCATCGTATCTGCCTACCAGAATCTAGGGACAACTCCTGCTGTGGTTAGAGAAAATCTGATGACATTTCCCAACATTAATGTCATAGCATTGTCCTGCTTCCTCAGTTTTCACAATAATAACATTGACAGGAAATGAGAGATTTGTCATTCACAATTTTAACACTAGAACAAAGGCCACTGTTGTGGAAAAGAGCAGTAGACTTGGAATTAGGCCCAATTCTACCACTTATAAGTTCTGGGACCTTGGGCAAGCCACTAACTTTTCTGAGGATGTTTCTTCCTCAGTCAGAGGTAGTAGAACATTGGATATCAGCCTCTGAGTCAGGAAGACTTGGGTTCAAATCCTACCTCTGAAGCATAATGAACATGTGACACTAGACACACAACAGAGACAAGACAGTTGCAGGTCTGCAATGGTAGAGAAAATTTCCTCTATGGGAGTTCCCTATCCCAAAGCAATCATAGGTCCAGATTCTACCCTTCCCCTTTTCCCCCAACCACCATCCCATTTGTACTATCTGCTCCATGGGGCTATTATGAGGAAAGCACTTTGCAAACAATAAAAAAAAATACCCAGGTGAGCTATTATGATGTGAGTTATTGCAAGAAAGGGTTTTTTCCATTTTAAAGCATATTTTTGTTGATATTTTTTGTTTTTACATTGCCTAGCCTAGATTTTTCCCTATATCCCTTTCTTCCTTCTGTCAAAGAGCCATCTGTTACAACAAAGAATTAAAGTAAATAAATGAACAAACAAGTAAATGAGGAGAAAAAATAATTAAAACTTTTTAATACATAGAAAAATTGTCATTCTTGCTTTGAATTTTATTAATTTCTCAGTTGTCAGGATTTGTATTTTGATATTTAATAAAATTTGACCTTCTAAGCAACGTTCCATACCCATGCTCTACAAAGGGGAAAGGGGCTAGGCCTTGTCATCTTTCTTTGTTGAGGCCTTGTTCTTTATATTTGAAAAACATTTATTCAAAATACAGACCATTCCCCAAAATATTATTGTAAAATATCTTAAACACTACAAATACTACTACCCTCATGACAGGTCTGCATGACCTGCAGCCCTCGGACCGCTTACAGCACACCAAAGGATTTCGGGTGGCCAGTGAAAAAATGTAGAGGAAAACATCCTCTACATTTTTCACGGGTTGCCTGAAATTCTTTGGCATGGCCATGGGCCACAGGTTGTACAGGCCTGCCCTATAACAAAGGTTTCCAGGAAGCAGATCATCTCTTCCCAAATACATCTCATCTATCATGTAGAATTGATCCCAGGGGCTAATAAAACTTTGGTTTTTCAACTTTCAGTTCCCATAAAGTTCATCTGAAGTCATGATCCTTTAAGTAGTTGTTATTTCTTTCTTTTTCTCCTCTCTATAGGAAGCTATTGATGAAGAATTTGCAGCCCAAAGGGAAGAAAACGTCCACTTGATCCGATTCCTGAGGTTTCTTGCTAACTTCTTCTGTTTCCTCACACTTGGTGCAAGTGGATATCTCATTTTTTGGGCTGTGAAGCGATCCCAGGAATTTGCGCAGCAAGACCCAGACACCCTTGGGTGGTGGGAAAAAAATGAAGTTCGTCCCTGCATGTTTCCTATGTGTTTGGAATTTGCCATCTACTACTTTGTGGGTTGTGGGATATGCCTTGACTTTTTTCTTTTCTCCCCTCCATTCATTTGACTTTGTTTTCTGAGTTTTCCATTCAGTTCTATTCCTATTCCTATGTCTTCTATATCAAGAGGACAGGTGTTCAGATCTTGCCCCGAATGTTTACTAATTAATCAATCTTGAGTAAATCACTTAACCTTTCTGGGCCAAGGTTTTCTCCACTCTAAAAGGAGAGAGTTTGACTATTTCACCTCTGAGGTCTCATTTATCTTTGGCTTTGACATAATCATGGGAATCTGGAACTGGAAAGGATTGTAGAGTTTTTCTAGGACAGCCCCCTTATTTCACAAATGAGGAAAGTAAAACTCAAGGAGATTTATCCAAGGTCGCAAAATCTGTTAGTTGAAGACCTGGGACTTGTACCCAGATCAGGGACTGAGTTCAGATAGTGAAAATAATATGAGGGTGAGTGGAAGGGACAATGTGGGGGTGGGGTGGGAAGATGGCAGAACAAGAAGCTAAAGCTATAAATAAAAGATTTTTAGGATTTTAAAGGTTGAAGGGACCTCACAGGCCTTGGGCCTCATCAATGTGAGTTTCTTGGTTGCTGAATAATGACTCATTCAAACCCAAACAGTATTGTAAACAAGTTAATTTATAGTTTATATAGAGTCATTTTACTCTAAAGCTGAGAATATTAAATTCTGGGCCTCAGAAAAAAAATTTCATTTTCCTTTCTCACCTGCTTCATCTCTCATTCCTTGCCATCATCCTAAGGAGGGATACCTCTTTCTTTGGTAGTGCCAAGAGATTTGTAAATGAAGTTGGCACATTACTTCCCTGATCACTGTTCTGACTTTCTACTTCCATTCCCATCACTATTTCATAAATATATCCAAAGCCCTCTGAAGGGTTAGAGTGAATAGCAGCATATAGGAAGAATGGAGATAATTGAATGGCTCTAAGAATCAGCAATAGCCAAGAATTCTTTTGACCATTTGTAGGTTTCATATTCTCTCTGTAATCTCATCAGCTGCTATGGGCTAAATGATCATATCTCATCATGTGACTCCCAAATCTACATAACTAGTCCTTATGTCTCTCCTGGAGGGCAGCTAGGTGGTGCAGTGGATAGAGCACTGGGTCATAAATCAAGAAGACCTGAACTCAAATCCAGCCTTAGACACTTAGTAGGTATGTGAAACCGGGCAAGTCATTTAACCCTGTTTGCCTTAGTTTCCTCATCTATAAAATGATCTAGAGAAGGAAATGGCAAACCACTCTAGCATCTTTGCCAAGAAAACCCCAAATTGGGGGGGAGGGGTCATGAAGAGCGGGACATAACCGAAATGACTAAACAGTAACAATAACAACGGGTGTCTCTCCTGAGCTCTAGTAACACATCTACTGCCTATGTAGACCTGCACATGCATATCCCAAATATACCTCAAATTCAACATATCCCAAATCTAACTCACTATTGTTCCCTATTAAATCTACTCCTCCTCCCAACTTCTCCATTTCTGTTAAGGACATCACCATTCTTTCATCACCAATCAACTCTATGATTCTGTGATCCTTAGAATCATCATAACTCTCCTCCTCCTCCATGTTATTTAATCAGTTATTTATGTCCATGTTATTTAATCTTGCCAAATCTACTTCTATGATATTTCTCATGTTCATCCCTTTATCTCCATTCACAGGGCTATGACCCTGGTTTAGACCCTCCTTATCACCTCTGTTCTAGACTATTGCAATGGACTCATACTCAGTCTCCTTGCTTCCAGTCTCTTGCCCCTCCAATCTTTCACATCACCAACTCATTTATTTTCCCTCAGGTATATATCTGATCATCTCACTTTTGTGAAATTGCAGTAGTTCCCTATTTCCTCTAAATAAAGTACCAACTCCTCTATCTCACATTGAGCTTTTTCTAATCTAGCAGCAAACCACCTTTCTGGACTTAGTTCACATTATTCTCCTTCACCTAATTTGTTTTACAATCAAACTGGCCTATTTGCTGTTCCATGTACATGACATTCCATCTCTTACCTCTCTCTGCACATTTGCAGAGACTGTTTCAAGTTCCTAGAATGCTCTTCTCCCTCTTCATCTTTGCCTCTTGAAGCTGCAGCTCAGGGATGACTTCCAACAGAAAGCCTTTCCTGTCCTTCCAATTACTAGTACTCCCCCTCCCTCACCATTTCTAATATTACATAGCATTTACTTTGTATATATTTAAAATGTACTTTTCCATGTATTATAATTCCCAGGAGAATGAAAGATCCACGAGGGAAGATCTGTTCCTACTTTTTTCTTTCTTTCTTCTTTTTTGGTGTCTGTTAACTCAGTAGCCTTCATTGCCTTGTGTTCATTGTCTTGTGTGTAGCAAGTGCTTAATAAATTTCCTTGGGTGAAAAAATGAATGCTAAAACTGGCAAGAATTAGAATCAAAATTTCAAAGCTAGAAAGGACCTTAAGGATCATCTTATTTAAACCCCTCATTTTACAAATGAGGAAACTGAGGCCAAGAGAGTCTTGCCCAAAGTCATACAGCTAATTATTTACTAAGCCAGGTCTGAAATCTGCACCTTCTGACTCCCAGTTAATTTTGCCTTTACTTTGGTACTTTTACCTACCTTCATTAAAAATAAAGATATGACTGAGTCTATTGATAATCAAACAGCTCTAAGCTTTGTTTAATACGCCAGTCTCAAACAGTTCTGACATTGTACAGAAGAAAAAAGACTCTACATATTCAGTGAGCTAAGGGTCAGTTCATGGATTTTTTTAACTTTTGGATTTTGTTTGTCTTAGACTTTGGAGACAACTGAAGTTACTTTATCTTTGGTGTATAATTTCTGTTTTGAAGAGGTCTGAGAGATTATGGGGATCAAAGAAAATGTCTAGTTCTCCATCTTGTAGCTTATGTGACTCCCATATTAATTTTACAGTTATTTTCTATTTATGTAAAATGCTTTGCAAGCCCTAATGAGCCATGCAAATGCTATTAAAGTACCACACAATACCTTCTACTTCATATTACTAGTACTACTGCTACTATGCCACCACCACCACCACCACCATTACTACCACTACTACCATTACTACTACCACTACTACTACTCTTCCTCCTCCTGCTGCTGTTGCTACTACTACTGTTGCTGCTGCTGCTGCTACTGCTACTACTACTACCACTACTGCTACTACTACTATTTTATTTTCCATAGTACCTAATACCCAGTAAGTACTCATCAAATACTGATTGAGTGATTGAAAGCTTCCGTAAAGTGGTGACAAGGTAGCCTGAAGAAATTGAGTGGGAGAGATTTGGGGCTAATTGGAAGTAAGATTAGAGGTTCAGAGATTTTAAATTTGTACATTATCTATTATTTCCTGAGATTCCTTGTATTCTGTTACTCCTGGCTGGGTGAACTATTGAATTGCATTAAAAGATGAGAAGGTTGAGGGGCAACTAGATGGCCTAATGGATAGAGCATCGGCTCTGAAATCAGGAGGACCTAAATTCAAATCTGACCTTAGACACACTCACTAGTTGTGTGACTGGGCAAGTCACTTAACCCCAATTACTTCACAAAAAAAAAAAATGAGAAGGTTGAACTGGATAATATCTATCATTAATTCTATGATACTCCACTCTATGCTAGCAAAATTGATAATCAAATTGTAGAAAGTGTGGGGGAAGGCTGGTGAAAATACCCTAAAAGGAAAAAAAAATAAACCATACTTTTGCAAATAAAAAAATCTATTCAGGGCTAAACTAGAATGTACAACAATACACCTACTCTTCTAGATCTTACTTGCTCCCAGACAAAATGGATTTATTAATCAAGTTCCATTAAAAAAAACTGCATCAAAGCAAGTCATTCCTACCATATGTTGGTTCTGTTACAAGTAAAGTCATGTTCCATATGAACATAGCATAGGGAAAACCCAGAAAATTGATTAGCCATTGTCTAATACCATTAAAAAATGTTCTACTGTGCTTTAAAAAAACAACACAACACACACACACACACACACACACACACACACACACAGCAGAAAGCTTATTGAGAGTTTAGCCTTACTTTATTTTGCCCAAACTCAAAACCACCATGTTATTACCTGGCCAGCCTCATAATGTGCTGTTTTCCAATTCTAGTTCCCACAACAGTGATTAAATCAGAACCAACATTTCTGTAAAGGACTTGTTAATCAATTTCCTTCCAGGGGTGAGCTGAAGCCAGCTTTCCTGAAAGTCTTATACCTGAGGAATTGGCAAACACTATGTATCAGACTTTGATTTCTTTTGTTGATTATTTTAAGAAAGTGATGGAGAAAATATTAATAATGCAAATTAAACTTTAAAACACATCCATACATTTTTTACTTCAAGAGTTGGTTGTTAAATATTTACCAACACATTCCTGCCTATGACTCCAATCACCACCCCTCTAACCAAAACACTGTTCACAGCCAACAATTCCCAAAGGGGAAGGGAAACTCCCTGAATGCAGAGACCATCTTACTTGTGTAGTATTTGTATCTCTAATCAGTTAGAAGATAAATATTTATTAAGCACCTATGCTTAGCATAATGCCTGGCATATGGTAATCACTTAATACTTGCTTTTCATTCATTTATTTGGAAAAAGACTGAGGTCATAATGGTCCAAAATCATTCTCTTACCTTACAAGAACTGAAGAAAAGTTACCAATGAAGTATCTTAGGAAATGGGAAAACCTTAAAATCTCTCAACTAGATTCTTCCCAGTTTCATTTATTTATTTAATTCTTTTTACAGATGAACATGATCATGTCTCTCTTGGGGATGTTCTGTCCAACCTTATTTGACTTATTTGCTGAGCTGGAAAACTATCATCCCCTTATAGCTCTGAAATGGCTGCTGGGTCGCATCTTTGCTCTTCTTCTGGGCAACTTGTATGTATTTATTCTTGCCTTGTTGGATGAGATCAATAACAAGGTAAGTAGTGCTTTTGGGTTATTGGTCAGCACATGATTTCCAATTGTAGGACTGCCAGGGATGCCTTTGACAACTGTGTCAGTCTTTCCTTTTGTTAATTATTTCCTATTTATCCTTTATATAGCTAGTTTTGTGTATATTTGTTTGTTTTCTCTCACATTAGATTGTAAGCTCTATGATGGCAAGGGCTGTTTTTCTCCTTTTTTCGTATTTCTGGTATGTAGCAGAGTACTGGGAACAGAGTAGGTGCTTAATAAATGTTTATTGATTGATGAATTGGTTGGTTGGTTTCTTTGTGTTTGCTTTTCTAGCTGGAAGAAGAGAAGTTAGTCATGGCAAACATCACCATATGGGAAGCGAACATGATCAAAGCCTTCAATTCATCTCAGAGTGAAAATAGCACTGGTCCTCCTTACTTTGTGGAACCTGCTGATGTACCCAGGGGGCCCTGCTGGGAGACAATGGTAGGACAGGTAATGAAATGAATGGAACTGGGTTGCCTCAGGACCCAGATAAACAGATTTGTTATCTCAACGAAGATATCTATTGCAAACTCATCTTATCTGTTCACTGAGCAATACTCTCGTCCATGTCTTCCCATAAGTTTACCCCACTCAGTGTCCTGCTGGGACTTTCCTTGATTTCTCTTGACATCTTAAGGATACTCTTAGAGCCCATGAGCCATCTTTGACAAAGTTTATAGAATCCTAATCTTGAATGGTAGTCTATTGGAATAAGAAGGAAAGATGGCTAAAGGCATTGTCAGGAAACATTTCTTTGACACTTACACCATACCCCAAACCAATTATGGTCATAGTTCTAAGAAATTGTTGCTATTCAGTTGTTTCAATTGTGTCCGACTCTGCATGACTCCATTTGGGATTTTCTAGAGTTTACCATGCATAAGCACAGAAGAAATAAAGAGATTAATTTTATAAAGGAAATATTTTATTTGGCACGCAACATTATTAGTGTCATAAGGCTATTAAATTTTATAAATTTATCTACTCCATGAATATTTTTATAAAACCTTACAACTTTGGGAATATTTCAATTTCATCATAACAGTTATTTATCAGATATTTGCTGTTTTTTGTTGAATTATTTCAGTCATGTCCATTTCTTCATGACCCCATTTGGGGTTTTCTTGGCAAAGATAGTGGGAGTGGTTTGCCATCTCCTTCTCATTTTACAGATGAGGAAACTGAGGCAAACAGGTTTAGGTGATTTGCCCAGGGTGACACAGTTAGTAAGTGCCTGAGGTCAGATTTGAACTCATGTAGATGAATCTTCCTGATTACCAGCTCAGTGCTCTATCTGCTGTGCCACCTAGCTGCCCAGTTCTAATGCTCAGTTCTTTCAGGAGAGCTGGCTCCAGCACACCCCTGGAAGGAAATTGATTAACAAGTCCTTTACAGAAATATTAGTGCTAATAATTAGTGCTAATTTAATCACTATTGTTAGAACTAGAATTGGAAAGCAGTGTGTCATGAGGCTGGTCAGGTGATGGCCAGATGTGATGGTTCAGAGTTTAGGCAAAATAAGGTAAGGCTAAATTCTCAATATTTGCTTTAGCAAATTTGCAGCAATCATGCTATGAAGATTTCTACATTGCATTGGAAATATGTGGTTAACACTAAGTCCAAATCTATTACGTTTATCAATTCATTCCACTTCACAGATATTCTTCCTTTCAATCAGCAGATAGGTCCAAATATGATCAGTACTGTAAGATAGTTGGGTGACCAGGGCTTTGCTCTAGGGTGCCAACATCTAGCAAGAATAAAGTCCTCTGATGGATTGTTGTTCTTTTGGGGCATGAGAGCCCCTTTTCCTTTTCTTAGCTTCAGGGGTCTGTTACTGTGGTACTTTTCTTTTTGGGCTTACTTTTCTAATACTTCCTCTTTTCCTCACCTTCCAAGGGTTGGAAGGTCAAGTACCATTGATACCATTGAAGCTCAGACTATTCATCCCATGCTGGGGATGGGTGATCCTTTCTTTGGTTTTTTTTTTTTGTTTGTTTGTTTTGTTTTGTTTTGTTTTTTAGGCAATTGGGTCAAGTGACTTGCCCAGGGTCACACAGCTAGTAAGTGTCAAGTGTTTGGTCTGAGGCCGGATTTGAATGCAGGTTCTCCTGACTTCAGGGCCAGTGCTCTATCCACTGTGCCACCTAACTGCCCCGATCCTTTCTTCCAATGCAATTGCACCCAGGGCAGATTGTCCTCTGTACAATACCTTTTCCCTCTTTACCTCCCTGCTAAATTCATTTTTCCCTGGCCTTAAAAATTCCCGTTTATGGCTCCAATATTTACCACATTTTTAGGTATGATAGATATTTATAGGCAAGGTCAATGTCCATTTCTATGATGCCTTAACAAAGAAAAGAAGAAACAACTGGCAGGGCTTTGGAAAACATTTTATGGATTCTCAAGCTAGTAGAGATGCTAATGAGGGACTAAATTACCTGAACTGTTACGATCCTTGAATAGTTGTGGGTTTTTTTTAGATATTCAAAGAAAGCCAGGGCTCCACCAGACATGTTTCAGGGTACTCTGAAAGAAAATCTGTGCATGCCTAACACACGACTACTTTGTTGTATTGTAACACAATCCCATAAACCAAGGATTCAGGGTCATAATGACCAACATAAATATATAGCTTTGACAACCTCAGAATTTGAAAATGATTTCTTTTTACAGTACCATGTGGTCTGGTATGAAGCTAACAATGTACACATAATCTTTATAAAATATCTACCTATTTGTTTACATATCGTCTCCCCCATTGGAATGAAAGCACCTCGAGGACCAGGGATGTTTTTTGCCTTTCTCTGTATCCCCCAGGGCTTAGAACAGTTTCTGGCACATAGTAAGTGCTTAATAAAAGATCTTAAATTGACATTTGCCTAATGTCTGCCACAAAGCTAATGATTTGGAGCTTACACGTGGCTGCAAAGAACAAGCTTGTCCACATCTGGGGGTGATTGATAGGACATAATTGCCAATGTAATCTAACAATGTCCTTCAGTTTCTGAATATAGAGAAGCTTATGTGACTTTCCTAGCATATTGACTCAGAGCAAAGGTAGAAATTCATTGATTAAATCTCTTGCTTTCTGAAGTCCCTGGACTATGCAGTTTGTTCTGTCATGAAGTATTGATCTGTTTTGGTTTTTTTTTTAAGCTTTTAGTGAATTTCTTTGCTTCTCTCTGTCACTGTCTCTTTCTCTCTGTCTGTTTCATTCTCCTCTTTTTCTCTCCTTTCCTCTTTCCCTTTCTTCCTCTCTCTCTTTCTCTTTCCCTGCTTTTCCTTCTTTCCTACCCCACCTCCCTCCTCTCTATTTTTTGTGCACTCTTCCTATCTCTTTCTCTAATAATCAATTTATTTGGGAGAGTTTGTTTTCTTTCTGTCCTCCTGCCTCCTCTCTGAAAAAGCATTTAGCACTTGAGAGATGGCTGGATGAGGCAGACAGGAGAGAGAGAGTGGTAGGGTTCTGAATGGGATTTCTGATGAGACAGGTGGAAAGCATGAAAACAAAGCAAACATAACAAAGATAAAAAATAGTAGGGTTAGCAAGGCCATAGCTTTGGAAGATCAATATCCATATGTATGCACTTGAGACATTAATGGCTTGGTCCTCGTTTATAAGGGGAGACTAACAGAAACAGTATAGAATATAGACAGATTTAAAAAATAAACATGCCAAAAAATTAAAAGCTCAACTCTAAAAATTTTGCAGAGTGTTGTATACTTTTTCCAAAGACCCTGAATTTTATGTGAGCTTTTCTAGCTTGTCAGGCATCCTGATGTGTTCCTCTGCTTCTCCTTGGATCTCTCTAAGGCCCGATTTGCTCTCTCTAAGAGATGAGCAATTTTGGTCAAGTCCACTCCTACTTGGAATTGAGTTATCAGGGAAGATCTTTTCTTTCCCTCTGGTGAGTTTTCTAAGGGAAACCTTACTTACAATGTTAGGTGTCAATCAGTCAACAAGTATGTATTCAGCACCTACTACATACCACATACTGTGCTAGGTCTTAGGGATACAAATACAAAGAATGAAGCAATTCCTCCTCTCAAGGAGATTATATTCTAATAGAAGAGACAAATATATATAAAAATAAATACAACATGAAAATGTTTTATATATATGTGTGTGCATATGTGTATATATGTGTCTATACATATATATGCATGTACACATGCACACATTTATATATGCTCCTATATATACACAATACATATATACATACATGCATATGTACATACTATATTAATTATTAATTAATTAAAATAACAATGGAAAATTTATGGATTATTTATTAATTAATTTAATGAATAATGAATAATTTATTAATTAATTAAAGTTAAATGCAAGGTACATTGGGTTGGACAACAGTTTTCCCTAGGATATTTGAATTGTGAGTAGAGAAAAGCAGGTCTCCTACTGCATCCAGGGTCATCTCCAGTCATCTTGATCTATATCTTGCCACTGGATCCAGATGGCTCCAAAGGAAAGAGTGAGGCTGGTGACCTTACACAGCCCTTCCTCACTTAAATTCAATTCACTTGCCAATCATGACATCACTGTTCTAACATCATGATCCTCTTTGAGAACAAAGGGCAAACAACAAGAGGTGAGCAGAATCTTTAAGATAAGCGAGGTAGACAGGATGGCCTCCAAGGTCCCTCTCAGCTCTAAATCTGTGATGCTCAGATGCTTTGCTAGGGCACCCTTACTTTGGGCTAGGCCAGACAGACTCCCTGAAATGGCTTGGATGGGAGAAGAGAAGGCGTGCCATCGTTGGAAGCTAAAGTAACAAGTACTGCTCACCTCGATAAACTTCCCTGTGACTTCTTCTGACTTATTGCTCATCTTTTGTGTCAGGAAAAGATTTCTACTTGTGGCCCTCTATCTTCTCTAGGACCAAATATAAAATTTTCTCTTCCGCATTTCAATCCCTTCACAAACTAGGCTTTTCCTTCCTTTTCAGCCTCCTCACACTTTCCTTTCCTCCATGCATTCTGCATTTCAGGGACACTAGCCTACTTGGTGTTTCACACAAATTATGGACAAGGACACTAGGTCACATAGCCTCATCCCCAACTCTATACCTTTGCACTGGCTGTCCCCAATTCCTACATTGTTCTTCCTCTTCACCTCTGCTTCTCTGTTGGCTTCCTTCAAGACTCAACTCAAATTTCACATTCTTGGGAAGCCTCCTCCAATGATATGCTAGTAAATGTTTAACAACTGCCCCCCACCATGTATGCACGACATACTTTTATTTATTTTTATTTTTAAGTTTTTTTTCTTTTTGGCGAGGCAATCAAGGTTAAGTGACTTGCCCAGGGTCACATAGCTAGGAAGTGTCAAGTGTCTGAGGCCAAATTTGAACTCAGGTCCTCCTGCCTCCAAGGCTGGAGCTCTATCCACTGCAGCATCTAGCTGCCCCCATGATATACTTTTAAGTATGATCTGCATTATTAACATTTTCTCCATCTCTTTCTAAGTCTAAACCATAACAACTCCAATAAATCAAGCCTTAATTTACAACATTTGCCAAATTCTAAGGTAGAAATGCTTACATTGAAAATTTAATAATGGATTGTAACAAGCTGTTTGAGTTGGCTCCAGCCTTTCCTTGACTACTTTCCTCCCATTTCTCAAATTACCTTTAATCCTCAGTATATACTTTAAATGCACATAGTTATTTGTACGTTGTCTCCTCCATTAGAATGTGAGCTACTTAAGGGCTGGGACCATGTATTTGCTTTTCTTTGAATCCCCAGAACTGAGTACAATGTCTGGCTCATGGCAAATACTTATGAAATGCTTATTAACTGACTGACTGGTAGTTGCATTGATCAAAATTGCCCCTATTACTTATTGTCGTCATATTCTACTCATATGAAAATGATAGGCAAGAGAGGATCTTCACATATTGTGATTTGTTTCTCTGTGACCAGGGATGGGGAAATAGCATCTTCTAGCCACAATCACTGAATGGAGTGCTTAAAGGTCCATGGACAAGCTGTCTGAGAAAATTATGCTGGCCAAGCTGCTCTTCTTTCCTCTAAAACAAGAGTTCTTATTGTGGGGTCCATGGAACTCCATGGTTTCTGGGGGTAGATTTTAGGGGATCCATGAACTTGGTTGGGAATTAAATGCATCCTTATTTTGACTCACTTCTGGATTCCTTCATAGTCCTATGTATTTTATGTTATGCATTTAAGACCATTGTTATAAGAAAGGGTCTATAGGCTTTACCAGACTGCCAAAGAGGGATCTAGGACACAAAGAAGAGGTTAAGAACGTCTGCTATAAAAGTACAAAGAGTGCAGGTTAGACCAGAGGTTCCCAAACTTATTTGACCTACCACCTCCTTTTAAAAAAAAAATGTACTCGGTACCCACCTGGAAATCTACTTTCTTTAGCCCTTTAATGGTTTTTTTACTTGCATAATTCAAAAAATATAAAATATTTTTTAAATTTAATAATTTATTGTAAATTTGTGGAGTTCAAAAGACTTGACCATTGTCAGATATTTAATAATAATAGCTCATATTTTTAGTCACTTTTAGGTTTGCAAAACACTTTTCATATGTTAACTCATTTTATCTTCACAATAACCCTGAAAAGTAAGGGCTTTTATTGTCCCTGTTTTACGGATAAGAAACTATGGTTGAGTGAATTGTCCAGGGTCAGTGTCTGAGGCAGGATTCAGTCTTAGACACTCAAAAGTCTCTATTTTGTCCATTGAGGCAACATTCAAACCTAGGATTTCCTAGTCCTGCCAATATCCACTATCACAAAGTAGAATAGTTTTAATATTGATAATTCATTATTGACAATCCATTAGATTATGAGCTTCTTAAGCAGGGACTATTTTTGCCTCATTTTGTATCCCAATTGCTTAGCACAGTGCCTGATGTATAGGCACTTACTAAATGTTTATTGATTGATTGATAATCTCTCAACAGGAATTTGTGCGACTGACTGTGTCTGATGTCCTGACAACCTATGTCACAATTCTCATTGGTGATTTTGTAAGAGCCTGCTTTGTCAGGTTTTGTAATTACTGCTGGTGCTGGGACCTGGAATATGGCTATGTAAGTACTGATCTGGTTTCCTTAGCTCTCATTAGACTGTTTCAGGGTCACTTGCTTCTTTGTAGCTCATCACGTGAAGAGAAGAAAGTATCAAATAGTTTGTAATGCGGGAATCTCCTTTTTAAATTATAAATACAAAATGTTTAAAGCTGTAAGTGATAATTAAAAGATTGACGAAAAAAAGTCAATCCTAAATTACACCACAAGTTATAGTCTAGTTAAATAAGTGAAATCATGAAAGCAGAATGTGTCTAAGGAGCATGGGGTAGGGAAAGGAGGGTGAGGGCCCTATATTGATTGAGATCAGTTTTGAAAATGTGATAGATTATTGGGTCAGTAGCCAATGCTCCTACTTTTTCCTCTCTCTCCTCAACCTTTCATATTTCTAAAAGTGAGGCAAAGGGTAAAGTGTGTGACATCAGCTATGTCACCCTCTTGGGTCTATTTGAAATATTGGTAAAGATTTTTGGCCATGGATTCTGGTTTTACTCTCTTTCCTCAAGCTCTTGGGCTATTTCCCCTGATGATTACTATTCACACCATATACCCCCAATCATTTTCAGAATTTGAGATGAGGCACAAAGTACACCCTTACCACAAAAAAGCTGAGACTCCCAGTCTTTTTACCTAGCATTTCCACTCTTCTACTCTCCCTTTCCTCCCATCATTGTTGCTGTCAAGTCACTCCCTTGCCTCTAAAGAAAGTATTAGAGACGTTATTGTGCCTGATGTTTCCTCGTTTTCATGTGTCTCTCTGCTAGGATTATACCAATAATGTAGGGCCTGTGCAAGACTATATTCTTTGGTTCCTATATCTTATCTAGAATTATAACAATTCAATTGGTCATTCAATCAACAAACATTTATTAAGGACCCACTATATGCCATATTATTAGGAATTTAAAGACAAAAATGAAATGATCCTTGACCTCAAGCTGTTTATACAAGATAATTTATCAGGGGAATGGAGAAGAACTAGCAGCTAAATGTTTCAGAAGGGCCTAATGTAGGAGGTAGAACTTCAGATGAACTTTTAGAAGGACGGTAAGTATTTTAAGAGACATAGATAAAGAGAATAGTACATTCCAGACACAGGTCATACACTGGGCAAAGGCGTAGAGACAGAAATAAAATATCCTATATGAGGAGTGGCAAGGAGGCCAGTTTGGCTGAAAACATAATTCTTTACAATTACAAAGTAATTTTTATACATTATTCCATTGGAACTATACAATTCATTTCAACTAGCATTTATTAAATACCTACTTAATATGTACCAGCAATGGGGTGGCTGCTAGGAATACATAGATGGAAACAATGTTATTTCCCTCATTAGAATGTGAGCTCCCTGAAGGCAAGAAATGCATTTTTTCCTTTGTATTTTCAATGTTTAACACAGTGTGATACGAGATTAATAAATGCTTGTCACCTGTCAATGGATTGGTTGATTAAAACCAGTCCCTGACCTGAAATAGGTAGTACAAGTTTTCTTTTTCTCTTTTACAGATAAGGCAACTGAGGCTCAAAGAAATGTAATTTGTCCATGGTCATTTAGCTAGTAAGGGACTAAGCTGGTGTTGAACTCAAGTCCTCTGAGTCTAATTTTAAGGCTTTTTCACTACTCATCCAATAAGTATGACTAACATCACTTAGTAGCATTTAAATTAGTAACAACCACCCCTGACCATCTCTAGGCACTGAGTCTATGGAAAAGGCCACTCTGATTGTCTATCTGTCATAGCTCCAAGTTGGATCTGACTCCTGACTTTGACTACATGCCATCTGTTAGGTCATCGCTATCATTGTTGCTCAGAATGCCTTCCCAGCTCAGCCAAGACCAGTTAGCTAATGCTCTTTGGTGAATGACAATGAGGTAATGCTGTAGACTCAGGATGCTGTTGAGTTTCCTTCTCATTCCTTGCCATGAAGTACTTGGCTGGCTCAGTTTCATTTCTGTTTTTCTTGTCTGACACAGCTATAATCTGACTTAGGCATCACAATGGAAGTTTCTTCACCTGGAATTTGATACCATTGCCTGGCCTTTTGCTTATCTCTTCTCCTGGCTATTTTCTTCTTAAGTGCTAGAAAATGTACTACAAAAATGGAGTCAAGAAAACATGACCTGGATGCATAAAAGCTGTAATTAAATGACTGTAATTTATTATTTATTGTGTGCTGATAGTATTCTTGGTTCTGTACAAGGTACAGGAGAAAAGGCCAAAGTTCTTGTCCTGGTCATAAAAAAGGAATTAACCCCTGTCTTATCCTTCTGGTTTCTGCTACAGAGAGGATCTTGGACAGAGGAGGAACCCAGTATTATGTGTAATCAAACATCCTTAAATACTAACCTTCTGATGTGTTTTTTTTTTTATTTTTTATGATTAACCATAATTTTATGATCTTTTTTATTTTTATGATTAACCAGCCATATTGGGAGTTATTATGCTGTAGTGGAAAGGGCAGTGAATTTGGAATCATTGGACTTGAATCTGATGTCCTAACTCTGCCAACAGCTACTTGGGTGACCTTGGTTATTTAACCTTTTTGGGTTTCATTGTCCTTGCCTATAAAATGAGACAATCCCTGAGGTTCCTTCTAGTTTGAGATTCAATATCATGTGAGCAAAGGAGTTATCCATTCCACAAATATTTATTAAATCTTCACTATGTTCAAGAAATCATTGGGATGCCTAAAAAGAGTCTTTAGTGAAATGGGAGAAATAAAATAAATATGAAAGTAACTATAATATGGGACAGAAAATTCTAAATGCCAAAAGGGAGAATCAGCATATTTGTAAAGGGGTTCATGGTATATTTGATAGAGTGCTGGATTTGGAATTAGGAGGAACTTGACTTGAATCTTGTTTATAACCCTTAGTAACTACATGACCCTGGACAAGTCACATAAACATTGTTACCCCTTTTTTAGGAGAGGTGGGATGTATCTTCAACACAGGATGGTGCCTGTCACATAGTTAGGGCTTAATAAATGTTAATAAATTAACACTGATTAAATATCAATTAATTAATTTAATTAATTAAATATTAATTAAAATTAATAAGTGTTTGTTGACTGACATCTATAAAATAAGAATTAAATAGCATCCTGAGTTTAAGTTTCTTTTCTATAAAATGGAAAGAGTAATAATACCTATCCCAGAAGTGTAACATTCAATCTTCATGGTGGAAATGACACTTGAAACAGGCCTTGAAGAAAGAGAAGGCTTTACCCAGATAGAAATGTGCTGGGAGAAAGTTCTGGCCATGGGAAATGACCTTTACAAACGCATGAAGGCAGGAGGGGATGGGATGAGATCAGGGAACAACTTAGTAGTCCTGTTTGGCTAGAATGCAGAGTATGTGTGGGAGAATAAAACAAACTAAGACTGCAGTGGTAGGTTGGAGACAGATTGCAAAAGGCTGAACAGTTTCTATTTTATTCTCTTGCCAAAGAGAAAACACTGAAGGTTTTTGAGGCAAGGAGTCACTTAATCAGGGCTGTACATTTGGAAGACTGTTTTGGCAAATATAGGGATGATGGATCAGAGAAAGGAGAGACTGGAGATAAGGGGACTAGTTAGAAGGGTACTGCAAGATTGGGAAAATGATATCCTGAAGCAACAATAGCATGTGAGCTGGCATTTACAGAAAGATTTCTGGTTTGCTAAGTGCTTTACATATGCTATCTGATTTGAGCCTCACAACAACAGTGTGAGATAGGTGCTATAACTGTCTTCATTTTGCAAAAGAGGAAACTGAAATTAAGTTGTTACTTGCTAAGGACCATATAGCTAGTAAGTGGCAGAGGCAGGATTTGAATCCTGACTTTCCTGACTCCAATTTTCACTAACCCATGCTATGTCAGAAATATTAGTGAAAAGGAGAGATGAGATAGTATGAAAACAGAATTTTTAGACCTTGTAACTGATTTGATATAATATCAGGCAAGGGAAACAAAAGAGTAAAAAACATATATTCCAAGGTTGCAGGAATTAGGGAATGGAAAGGTCTATGGTGCCATCAATAGAAACAGAGAAGTATAAATCTCAAGTATGTTATACATATAATATAATACATTACATTATGATATTACATATTATGTGTATGTATATATGTGTTATGTATATATGTATGTGTGTGTACCTGGCTATACAGACATTTTCATACGTTTATATATATGCATGTGTGTATATATATGTATATACTCATACATATGCAGACATTTCATTTGTGGAAGTGGATGAAATTGACAAAGAAGTGAGTGCAGATGAAGAAGAAAAGAAAAGAGGAAAGAGGCAGTGATGAAGAGAGACAGAGACAGAAAAAAAAAGAGACAGAGAGAATGAGAATAAATTATCTATATTGTTAGGTCCCAAAGAAGATTGAAACAGGGTCAAGGACATGAGGGGAGGAGTCATTCTTGGCAAGGAGGAATACACTTCCCATTTGTGAAGAAGGTGTACTACCAAATTAATTTATGATATAAATATGGTTTTGATACCTAAACCAGAGACCTACAACAGAGAAAGAAAACTATAGATCAATTTTCCTAATGAATGTTGTTGCAAAAAATTTTAATAAAATACTATCAAGGAGATTATAATAATATATCACAAAGATCATACACTATGATTAGGCTTAATTTCTACCAGGCATTCAAGACTGGTTCAATATTAGGAAAACTATAAGCATATTGACCATATCAATAATAAAAACAACAAAAATCACATAATTATTTTAATAAATACAGAGAAAGTTTTTAACAAGATACAATAAACATTCATGTTTTAAAAAAACACTAGAAAGCATAAGAATAAACAGAGCTTTAAAAAAAATGATAAGTAGTTTCTATCTAAAACAGAGGGCAAATATGATTGATAATGGGGATAAACTAAAAGATTTTCCAATAAGATCAGGGGTAAAATGAGGATGTCCACTATCACCATTGTTATTTAATATTGTATTAGAAGTTATAGCAATGACAAGAAAAATAATCTTGAA